CGCGCCCGGCGTGGGGCGGGTCGGTCGTTACCCGGTGTCGAGCACCGGGCGCCCACCGCGCTGTTGTATGGCGGGGGCTGGGGCGCCTGCAGCGGAGCAGCGTGAAAGGCCGTGAGGGAGCGACCGGCCTGAGCCCGTGTGAAACCCTTGCCGGGTCCCGTCTTCTTAGCGGGCAGACGCTGTTGTACCCGGTCCTGGAGCTTAGCGAGTGCAAAATACTCGTTTTCACCTGAGCAATAAGAGCAGCTTTAGCTCCTGCTTCTCTTGCAACATTAACTTTGTTATGTATGCTGGAAAAATGTACTCGGGAAAATGCAGTAGGGAAATGATGACATGTTTGTCTCTTCCACAAGGAGCTAAGAGATAGCAACTTACCTCGTTTTAAAAAATAAATTGTCAAAGAGGTCATAGTCGTGTTCTTTAAATGCGCAGTTTGCATTTTTAAGGGTATTGCTTTACTTGGGATCAAATGCGGGTATGTTTCGTCAGCACTTTTGCTCTGCTCAGAGACCGTTGAGGAACTGCGTAGTTCAAGCTGTTGATGCAGAACTTTGATAAGCCAGGAGTTCATATTGTAGTGTAAACCAAAATAAATAAAGGATACGTGCTGTGCCATGTTTCTTGCAGTATTTGAGCTTTGTTTGTCATCCTAAGCAATAACTACAAATACTTATTGCAGCAGGGAAGCAGTTCCAAGGAAAATGCTTTGTGTCTTGGCTTTCATTTCTTTGGCATCATTTTGAATGTGGCTTTTTATCTGGTGCTGCTGGATTGACCAGCTTGAGAGAATTAAAAAGGAAAAAGCTGCAAAACCATGAAACACTGGATGAAGAAAGACAGCACCTGGGTTCTGCTGTAGACATCTTTAGCACTTGTCAAAACAGATAGTTTATCAAAATATTAGCGTGTTTAATATCTCACAACTTTTCAAACTGCTTGCTGCAACTCTGGCCTGCCTCTGTAGACAAGCAGTTGCTTACACTGGTGAAATTAACAAAGTGAAGCTTTGATTGCTTGGCCTTCAGTTGCCCGGAAAACCTGGTCTGTTGCAAACTGGATTCTTGGGAATCTCCAACTGCATTCCCACCACTCCAGTAGTTGGTAAATCCATCTTGGTGGATTTAATTCAGACAGCATCAGTGGACCTTGCTACAGGCTGTTGTTAACAGTGGTAGTCTTTGATCATACGTGCTTTTACAGGACTTAAGTAGGTGCATAGAGAGACCAAGAAGAGAGAGCGGGCTGTTTCTTAAGGCATTGTCTCCTTTAACTAAATCTTTGTGTTTACTTGGAATTGGAATTTGGACTTTTCTGTTCATATAGATATATATATATATATATATAAAACCACACAAATACATATACATGTAGTCTCAGATATTATAGCATAGCCTTATCAATGTTACCCTTGAAAGCTCTGAATAGTAGGATGAAAGTAAGTAGTCTATATATACACTCACTTTCCATAAATACCATGAGAATGTTACAACTTCTACAGTTTCAAACTTCAGTTCCCACTATTAGAATTTCACAACACTTGCCAGGGTACTGAAGAGACTTCCCAAGGTTATAAAGCTTTAAACAAGAGTAGCAGAAAAGACACTGTTCGTGCGTTAAGGAAGAGGAAATCTGTGCTCTTGTGTTAGTGTGTGCCTGAATTTCTGCCATAAAGTGTCATATGCACTTCCCTAGCTGTTGATAGGCCACTAACGACATTAGGATCATTGTGTTTCTGGTGGATTTCATGCTTGACTGAATTGCATTGTGGAGCTAGGAAATGTGACTGGATGGTGAGAGCTCAGATAAGAGAGGCCATCTAGGCTAATAAAGGTTAGACCAAAGCATCAGCTTCACCTTAGAATGAATGCAAGTTTCTTCTCTGTAGCACCTGAAAGCACCAGATACCAGTTTTTGCTGAGACATGCTTCTGTTTTTTTCTAGTTAAATCAGTTTGTTGCTAAATAACATAACCTTCACTTTTGAATACTACAACAGTGAACATCCAGTTAGAGAGGTGATAGGCAGGGAATCGCTCTCTAGGGAACAAAAAAGAGCTGTATTACCCAAGGTCATTTGTTCCAAAACAAATGCATGAAGGACGGGGCACAAAGTGTGCGTGTAAGTGGAAAAACAGCATGTATGACGCAGTGGAATTCCCTCTGAATGTGACAGTAGGTCATAAGTAGCTTTACGTGTTGACCCTCAGCAGGGTTTATTGATTTGAGCCTATCGGCTGCTTAACACTCGAGATTGTTAAACTCAAAGTATGTTTATTTGGATTTATAAACCAAGTGGGAATAGCTAGAAATGCTCATATCTTTTGAAAAAATAAAATTTAGGTTTAACTTATTTTAGTAAGCTAGCAGAAGAAAACCTTTTCCAAAGAAAGAATGCATTTGCTTTTGGTAAAGCAAAGTATGGGTTGTTTTCTCAACAGTCTTGAGGATAAGAGAACTGCTGTGGAAGCCAACAGACCATTAATGAGTGGGTTCAGAGAGCTCTGAGGCTCTTCCAGAGAGCAGTGTGCTCTTAACTTGCTGTCTTTCATGCCAGAGACCATTCTTAGAGCAGTGGTTTCACATCCTGTCTCTTGTGCTTGTCTGATCCTTTATGAGGCTCATCCAGTGTACAAAGTTGTCAACTTGCTATGGTTGAAATAGCTCTGTTGGAAGTAATGCTGAAGGAAGGTGGGCATGCTGCAGTTGGTGGGTCCTGCCTGTCAATGAAGAGACCTGTCTTGCGCTGCCATTTGGAAATACTCTCTATGATAAAAGAATCATTTGTTAGATGAAGTAGTGGGTCTGGTTGTCTTGTCATCAGAGAAACCAGGGGGTCTTGATGTTTGCAGCAATGTCATTGCTCAGTATGGCTGTGACAGCAGTACTCTTTATGTCTCTTTGTAGCATCTTTAATGTGGTATTGAATACATGGTTTTGTTAATTCTGAGGTTTTGGCCTATACAAATAAATTCAAATCTCTCTTTTACAGATAGAAAATTAATTTTTTTACTTTAGAATCATTTGAATTCTTACACTTTATGTGTAGAAACTACTCTAATACTGTGCAAACTATGGATATAGAAGAACATTCACATTTGAACGTTTGGTACCTTTTGGAACTTTTTGTAAAAAAACATTAACTTTTGGAGGTTTCAGCCAAGAACAAAGATAAGTGACTCAGACTTGAAACTGCATATTTACAGTATTCTTACATCAGTACTTTAAGCTGGTAATTTTCTAACAAGGATCTCTGATGTGTTATGGTTTCTGCATGTTACAGTCATGTGGGTTTGCTGGATGGTGGTTGATAGAGAAGTAATTTACAAAAGAGAAAATCCTGAACTTACATCTTATATAAAAATGGATGGTTTATGTTTGTTTCCTTAATAAAAGTAAAAGAAGTAAAGGGAAGATACCATCTCTCCATGAGTAAATTTACCCAGACAAGTTGTGGATGCCTGTCCCTGGAAGTGTTCAAGGCCAGGTTGGATGAGGCTTTGAGCAGCCTAGTCTGGTGGAAGGTGTCCCTGCCCATGGCAGGGGCATTGGAACTAGATGATCTTTAATGTTGCTTCCAACCCAAACTTGTCTATGATTCCATGAAATCAAATACTTGGTTCTTATTTATATTTAGTTGTGTGTTTAAATGCTCTGGATAACTGAATGGTATTAAAATACCATCTGTTCTTTAGAGGGAGAGGTTTACACTCACTTTATTGTCCATAAAACATCTTGCAATCTTTAATTGTAAGAAAATGTCAAAAAAAGAGAATAAAAAAGGTGCAGAACCTCCTGAAATATTATTGAAATTGAAATTATGAAATGAGAAATGGAAAATGTCTCTCCTTTTGTGACTAGACTGTAAACTCCTAAATGGATGTCCTTATTCAACCTGGGTAACCCACAAAATTCACCTAATAGAGAGTACCTATTTCTGTTTATTTTGATGGATTATTTTTTTCCTTTAATGAGGAGCACCAAGGACCATCCATGTTAGATTCAAGAGTAGCAGGTAGCATGTCTAAGTCATTATTAGATCTTGGCAAATCTCTTCTGCTCAGTCTCCATTTAAGTTGTTCAAAACGCAACTGAATTTTTTTCCATTTTCAAGTCTCCACTTGCAGGAAGATTATCCATAACAGTGTATATGTTGTTTTAGTGATAACTTTTTTAGGCAAAGAGCACCTCTGTATGTAGTTTTACTGTATTGATTTCCCAGAAATCTTCAAAATACAATATTTCGGGGGTTTGTTTGTTTGGTTTGTTGTTGTTTTTTTTTAATAACACAATCAGGCAGATAGCATTCTGCTTGCTTTTTTTGGTTATCTGTTAGTCTTCATGTCTTGCCTCAGATGAAATCTGTCTTTCATACTCTTTCAATGTATTCTAGTTTGATTTTGCTACATGGTGAAGCTTCTAGAATTTATCTGTATAATTTGTCTTGTAAATTTGAGTTCTTTAAGCAGTAGTGTAATAAGCTTTATGTCCTTGTCAGCAGATATATGCAGAGTCTGTCGGTCTGAAGGAACACCTGAGAAACCACTTTATCATCCATGTGTGTGTACTGGCAGTATTAAATTTATTCATCAGGAATGGTGAGTTCTGTCTTTGTGAGGCTTTTATATATATTTTATTTTTTTTTTAATAAAACACATCATATGTTTCTAAACCAAATACTTTCTCAGTTTCAGGTTAACTAGTAAGAAAGTCCAGTTTTCGCCAGGAATGTGTTAGGGGTTTGATGTTTTTTACATGATAGTTCATTACAATTCACAAAGAATTTAGAAATTATATATGACAAAGAAGTACTGACAATTGTTTGTATTTAGGACTACAGTTCTGCTCATATGTCAGCTTTATGAAAGCTAAGCAGAAAAGTCAGTATGCACTCAGTGGGCTTTTTCTGCCCACTTGTAGTTGTGAATAAAAAGAAAACTAACCTCATAGCAAGAAATAAAAATACCTTAGTACTTTTGGGTCATTTTGAGGTGTGTGTTTGATCAAGGAAATGCTAAAGTGAAAACAGTAATGCTGGCCTAAAGCACACATTCCTTTTGATGGTATTTTAATAGCCATTTTTTTGCAAATACTGGAGTTCTAAATCTTAGCTGTGTGCATATATGTGTCATCTCAAAGTATTTATAAGGAATAGTGTCACTTGTGGGTGTCCATGCTGGGATGTATGCTTCATTTTATTAGCTTTTTCAATAACATACTCTTAGAATGTACTTTATCAATAATATAAGTGATGGAATTGAGGAATTGCTATTTCTCATAGTCAGCTTATCTTTATAGCTTTGTGAAACTTACCTGATGGCCTAAATGGACTTAATAAGCATGCTGATTGAAGTCCTGCTTGATAGTACAAATAGCCTGATTTAAGTTTGAAAACAGAGAATTAGCATGTTTTCCTTTAATGGAGGGGTAAAATGTGAGATGTAATAGCATGTGTTAATATGATCACTTTTTATTGCAGCTTAGTTCAATGGCTTAAACACAGCAGAAAAGAATACTGTGAACTATGTAAGCACAGATTTGCTTTCACACCAAGTAAGTATGTTTTACTGCTCTTATTTTTTCAGTTTCTTTTGTTATTTTTTTCTTAATATGTATGAAGTGATTACTTCTTCACTCAGCATGGTGGATCCAAACTTGCATTTTTAACTTATACGTTCTTGTTTGAATTGCAGCTCTTACGCATATTATTGCAGGCTGTGAATTATTTAAATAATGGATAATCTGGTTCTTTCATAATCTTATGTGAGCCATAAAAGAAGTGTACCTTTTCTGATTGCCTCAGTCCCATTCTTTTGTTGCTAACATTATAGCATATGGCATGTTTTCAGCTTCATTGATAAATTTGAATGTTTGGTGATCTGACTGTTAAGGTGAAACCACAGCAAAATTTGAATTTGAAAGAGTTGTTAGTTACCTTTGAACTAGCCATCTGCAACACTGCCACCTGACTTGTATCAGTTTCAATTCAAATGATCGTGACAGATAATGCAAATAATTGCTCCACTTGTATTTCAGTCAAAATACAGTAAATATCCCCTATTACATCACCTGTTGTGTTAGATTCATCTAAATAAGTTAGGCAGCTTATGATGAATGACTGTATATTGTTCCCAGAAGATTTTTAATTACATTCTAACCAATAATAGTAGAAATAAATGAGGTCATTTGGATTGGTGGCGGGCTAGCTTATTATTTAGTATTGCCAGCTTACTGCCTGTTGAACAGGTAAAGCGGTTCTTGTGTACATGTTTTTCTCATTAAATTTATTTGTGTCAGTTCTTTACAACTGCTAAGCTCAGTTCTTCATGGTGCAGACATGTATTTAAAAAAAACAAAACGCTCACGAGTATCCGCACAATTCATGTCTCAAGAAAAAGAGGACATGAAGTTCTAATTGAAATGCACTTTATATGTGTGCTACTATTTGCACTAGAAAGTTTATTCACTGTCCTTATCAACAGAAGTGTTCCTGCAGAAGTTTAATCCTTGCCTGACACAGCTGCTGCCAGCACAGCTTGTAATGTAGTTGCAGATTATGGACGTATGAGAAAACATAATTGAATTACTGTGGTTTTAACAAGTTAACATTTGTCAGAGGAGCCTTGAAATTGGTAATAAGTGAACCTTTTTCTTCACTATGTAATAGAGTACTTCCTCCACATTCAGCCTCTAGCAAAGGTCTCCTTATCCTCCTGTCACACACTGGCCACTCCCCAGGCTGAGCACCCTCAGCTGATAATGTTTTCTTCTTGGCTTTCCACATTGCACAGTGTGGTTTGGTTTTTGTTTTTCCTTTTCTACCAGGCTACACACAATGTTAGCATATGTCAGGTATCTAGCAGAGATTCCTTCAGCCCTCTCTACGCAGTGTGTCTTTTTCCATTGTTTCCCTCACACCCAATACTCATGCAGTTATGGTTTCCTTAGTTTCTCTTATCCTTCTTTATTTGGACTATAATGTGGCTGTCCAGTCTGGAAGCTGGGTCTACGTGTGGGAGCTGGGGAAGAGTCGCTGGTGCTGGGGAGAGAATGGTAAGGCAGAGGCAGGATTCATGTATATGTCAGTCATCCAGAAAGAAGTTGGATCTGGCCTATAACCATGCCATGTTTAAAGCACTTTCAGATACAATTCACCACAGGATGTGGTTGCATAAACACATGTACATAATTAGAATCTGTGCTTCAGCAGACACACAATAGTAGTGCAGAGAATAGTAGTGCAGTAATAGCAGCAACTCCTCTTTTAGTTTAGCTTGGTTTTCTTGTTAAGGCTGTTGCTGTCATCCTGTCAAAAAGGTTTCTTCGCTGACATAACTTTTTGCATATGGAACATTCGTAAAATATTCCTAGGTCATGTATTCTTTAAGTTCTGTAACATCTTGTGACTTCTTTAGCACCTGAACTACAAGGTTAGTTACTGTTTGTAGGGGAAGGAAAGAGAGTAGAAGGTTCAATTTGCGTCTTGGCAGGAGTACAAAGGAACTGATTTTTCTTCTGAATAATAGCACCATTCTCTAAAAATGTTTAGTCATGTAGGCAAATGACTCCATTTTCAAATGCACACTTCATAGCTGAATTTTTTATGTTTTAAACATTCATTTTCTGCAGTTCTCCAGTTACAGATTAACACAGCTATTTTAAAAAGTGATTGCTCCTTTTTAACCTGGATGTTTTCTTTCTGAGTTTTTAAAGAGCTAAGTACTCTGTATTCTTTTCCTCCCTACACATGCACTTTCTTTTGTCATGTGCTAGGGTGCACTTTTCTTGATGCTACACTCAATGTTCATAAGCACTGACCCGTGAAAGGCTGTATTTCCCAAGAGAAGATAGTTTTCAAAACTTCTCTTTTCTGTAGAAGGTAACAGTAACATAAATATTTTCAAAAACACAAATATGGAAGCAGACTAGCCTGATCTTTGGCTGGAGATTGGGATTGGTTCATTTCTCTGCTTCCTAAGTGGTCAATATGATGTCACAAGCATAGTTAATACAAAGATTGTAAAATAGAAGGAGGGTACATGGATAGGATATTCTTCAGTTTATAAATTATTTTATAATAAACTTTTGATTTGTGCATGCAGAGTTTCTAGTTCAAGGCTTGCATTCATTTGGACCTCACTGTATTGGTGTAATCCTGTTTTGTTACTGTTCTTCCTCTTGTTATTTGCCACCTTTGTTCCCGTGTAACAGTTAATATGAAAGTTTGTTGGATTGGGAACTGCTTATTCCTTTGATCATTTGGATTGATTGGGCTCCCAAGCTATCCTATGGCATACTGAGGTTCTCCACATCAAGTACTCATGGCTGGTGGTTGTCTGGGTTTTTTTTTAAATTAACCCATCAGCCTTGATACTTTTTTTGATTGTCCTTAAAACCTTTCGGATGTGACTAACATATCCAGCTTAATATGAAAGTGTTCATGGTTCACAGATTGAGGCAAAAAAAAATGAGTATCTCTCTGACATAATTGTAAATTATTGAATTATATATTCTTATTTTTAAGAAACTTGTGCAAAAAACACCACTTAGTAATTGCATGTTGTTTGTAGACTTCATTAAGTTCGAAGCTTTTGGCCCTTTAATTTTGTACGAAATTATCTGTAGGAAGCTGTGTAATTATACTGAGTGACCCATTTTGTTGGGCTTGTCATTTGAAGTAATTAAGATTTTATTGAAGGATATGATGAGCTGATTTTTTTACCTGTTCATTTTGATGAACTTTAACACAGTAGCCTATAGCTGCTACAGAATTCAGCATGTCAACTGCCAGGTCCAGGGTGTAGGGTAAACATTCAGGTGAGATACATGAGTGTCATGTCATATGTTTTGTTAGACCCATGGCTTGCATGAGAAGGAGTGGCATTTTTCTCCTTTTACCTTAGCAGTCTGCAGCAAGTCTGTGTATGTTTCATAAGTGTAAAACGTAGAAACATAGAATGGCTTGTGTTGGAAGGGTCTTTTGAAGATCATCTTATCCAACATAAAGAGTAACTTGCAACCCCTTTTTTACCAAACCAGTGATTTAACCCATCATCTATAAAACACATGGTTTTTACTTGTGAGTTATATAGTCTCATTTCATGATCAGTGCACGTGGATGATGGAGGTGGCATGTAAATGGCTTGCAAGTGTAATAGTAAATAGCAAATCTGTGGATAAGAGGACTGTTGAGTGTGGAGATTCTGTGAAGTAGGCTAAATGACTGTTTTACCTAATCAAAGAAAGATGTTTTAATTTCTTTCACACTAGGCATGCACCCATTTAGGTTGTAGGCAAATAAATAGGCAGACGTGGATGGGGAAAGAGGGAGAACTGAAATAGGATGCAGTTGCATTGCGGCAGCTGTGGAGAAAACCAAGACTATTTTAAAAATTTAAGCCTTCATAATAAATAGTGGTAGGGGGTTTTGATACGTCAGAAGGCTGCTGTCTTTCTAGTTTCTTTTTGCAGCTCTGTTGTCCTCAGCCCTTAGGAGACAAGGAAGGTCCTGGAAGATTGCTTTGGGACCATTTGCACATTGCTGGTGATTCATTGCAGAGGTGGGCTTGTACTGCCGGTGTGGGACAGGAAAGAGGAGCGAGAGAATTTCAGAATTAGAAAGAGACTGGTGTTCTCTCTGTGTTGGTCATTTTTTTTCTGTTGTGCAGCTGGCATTTATAACCACAGAAGGTGCCAGTGCTCCTGGTGTTGCTGCTGCTTTTTTTCTTTTCTTTTCTTTTTTTTTTTTAATACAAGCAACAGAAGTGAAATATGAAACTCTTCATGCTTACTAAATTTATAATTATCATTACGTGTTATATTATCATAATATAACATAGGGGTATTCAAAAAGCCCCTGTTATTGCTCAGATACTGCTCTGGTAGGAGTTCCTTTCTGTACTGCCTGTGCTATGACTAAATATCTCTTGTATCTCCTTGCAAGGGAAGTTGTGAGAGGTTAAATTGAAAGTTAGTTTGTTTTATTTCTTTGTAAGCTTGGTACGAGTTAGAGCATTCAAGTTGAGCAGATGCTCCCCGTTGTGTTTGTTGAAGTACAGTTGCGCGATGTTTTTACTAAATAGCCTCTGAGGAAATGGGAATGCTGAGAAAGCTTCCTGTAATAAACTAAAGGTATCACTTTGGGAGATTTTTTCCACTTTCCTGTTCTGGATTTTTTTGTCAGCTGAAGTCGGTTTTCAGACTGTTTCCTTGAAGACTACGTATCATTATTGTCTGCATTTTTCCTTATTTTCTTCTAGGAGAAGGAGCATTTCTAAATACAGCCCTGTGGTTTTCCTACCTTATTTGTGTCAGCGAAACAGCAGGATTTTGTCCTAAGCTGTCTGGTTTGGAGAAACAATATTTGTGTTCATGAAAATGTTAGGCTTAATGGGGAGGAACTTGGGTTGAACAAAAACCCACCCCCAGAAAACAACCACCCAAACCTAGTATTCACAAATAAGATAGTTGTTACACTGTGCAGGTGTGACCTGAGTATCCAAAAAGCTTTCTAGTCTGTGGCCTGGACAGCTAAAGCTATGAAAGCTCACTTATGCTCAGCCAAAATCTGTTTGAATTTCTTGCTATAAGAGAAAAAAGCTATTACTTTAATTGGATTCTAGTAGAGAGACTTTCATTTGGACAAACTGTGGTAAATAATACAGGAAATTTGTTTCTCAAACTGAATTAGGAAATATTACTGAAATGGGAATTAAGGGATGAAGGAAGGATGAGGAGAACAAATGTGTGAAAGAGAATGAAGAGGATTGTTGTGGTTTAAGCCCAGCCAGTAACTCGGAACCATGCAGCCGCTCGCTCACTCCCCGCCCCCCTTGCTCCCCCTGCTCCTGGAGGGATGGAGAGGAAAATCGGAGGAATGTAGCTCCCACGGGTTGAGATAAAAGCAGTCCAGTAACTAAGGTATAATACAAACCACTACTGCTACCAATAATAATGATAAGGGAAATAAGAAGGGCAGAGGACACAACCGCTCACCGCCCGCCAGCCGATACCCAGCCCGACCTGAGCAGTGATCTGGGCCTTCCGGGTAACTCCCCCCAGTTTATATACTGGGCATGACGTGCTGTGGTATGGAATACCCCTTTGGCCAGTTTGGGTCAGGTGTCCTGTCTCTGCTTCCTCCCGTCTTCCTCTCCTCCCTGGCAGAGCATGAGACTGAGAAAGTCCTTGGTCAGAGTAAACATTACTTAGCAACAACTAAAAACATTGGTGTTATCAGGGTTGTTCCCAGGCTGAAAGTCAAAACCACAGCACTGCACCAGCTACTGAGAAGGAGAAAAAATGACTGCTGTAGCTGAACCCAGGACAAGGATATATATTGCGGTGGCAGGGGTCAAAGTCTCAGGCTTCACAGTGGTAGTGGTGAGCGGATAAAGAGGTGGAACGTGGAGAGAAAATGGCAGTAGACGACAGACACAAGCAGGAGGATTAGCTGTGTGCTTGCACACTGGGGGTTCCTCTTGTCCTAGGAATTTTTGTATTTCATCCACCAAATGTTGTAGGACATAGAAGGGCTTTATTTTATCACGGTATAAAGCTTCTAGAGGTAGAAGCTTTATATATTTCAAGCTGTGGCAAAGGAAAATCAGCAGTCTTCCCCTGCCCTACTCTCGACTCCTGAAATCATCAAAAATCACCAAATTGTTAAAATTTGGGGGATGTAGCTTGTCTTTGAGTAGTATATATGCTGTGCATTTATTTGAATGCTCAATTGTAATCCTAAAGCCTTTAGAAAAATGAGTGTGTAAAGGTGCTAATATTTACAACCACTTCAACTTTCCTGAGTTAAGATGGGCATTCTTTTTTTACAATCCCTTGTGTGAGTGTTGAGTAATTCTTGAAATATGCAATTTTTTAAAAAAATCTTTAAACCCTCCCAACTTCTCCATAACAAATAAATGATTAATGCAAAGTTAATGTTTTCCTTGTAGCCTCTGTTAAAGTTCCAAAGTGTTGACTGAAATGCATTTTTGTAAAATGAAAAACGTAAGCCTCTGAGTATCTGAGTTCAGTTTTGTTTCAACTGACATTTTCTATAATACTACCAAATCGTATACTAAATCTGCTTCTCTAATAAGAAAATTGTAAGTTGGTAGATAGTGTCAAAACACATTTCTGTCCTGATTTTCTTTTACTGCTTTTTCTCGGCTACACTTCCCTCGTGCTATGTTCGTAGTCCTCTTCTTAGGAATTCCAGTTCCTTGCCAGATACCTGGCAACCGAGAACCTTTGAAATTTAAAACAAGTTACTATTTGTTCTTATGGTTACTGTTTTGTTGTTAATTTGTGTCAAATATAATCCACATGTTGAAATGCACCAAACTCTCCACATTCTTTGATTACTTATCCATGTTGATACTGCTTTTCTATGTTCTTGAGGGTTTTTTTTACGATATAGAAACTAAGGGAAATGTCACTGGAGAGAAAAGAGGGTTTTTTTCTCCTACAGAAGCTTCCTTTCTGAGATGAGTAAAAGGTTGATTAGGAGTGTAAGTAAAGGTAGTAGAGATGTTCATTAGAGAAAAGGGGGGTATGCAAGTGGGTTGTATGAAGCAATATTTCTCAGACTTTTAAGTCAAAGGGTTGTCCGTGAGAGGGAAGGAAAACTTTTCTCTAGTCATTCTTATAAAACTTGCATTTCCTCATGTAGATACAAGCATGTGATTTTTTTTTTATTATTTTTTTTTTTATTTTCTTTTTGGAAAATAGTCCATTAATTAAATGTGTGAAAGTCATCAAGCTCAGCTGTTTCCTGTACAACTTAAACATCCAGGCAGCAGTGTCTTTGTGCAACTCCTAACTGTAGTTTATGGTTTTTTTACAAATCTGTGATTGACACTGTGCGTAACCACTTCTCGGTGTCCATGTACGTGTGTAAAAGCTAAAGAAATATAATGAAATCATTAGAGATAAATGTTTTCTAATTGTTTGCAAAAGAAGAAGCTGTGTCACTCTTTTTCTTGGCTTTTGAGTAAAGACAGGTTTATGTAATATATAGGTGTTGAATTTTAAAAGTTGAGAAAATGTACTATTATGAAAATGTCTATAGTGGCTGAGAGATTTGCATTGTGTTCTGTAATAGGAATGACCTTTAAAGAAGTCTTGCATGGTATGAAATCGATATCTATTGAAAGTAAAAGGCATTCTGTGTAAATTTCAAGGTCTGTAGATACTTAATCAGTTCCCTTCTATTTTCCTGTCTGTGAGGTGCTCTCATTTTGCCACTTTATTTTGGTTTTGTGCTGTTGGATAGCAAATTACCTAACACAAAGAGTTTGTCAGTAAGCAAAACTGCTAATTGTTCATGTTCCTTGTACTCTTCCCTTGAACTAAGTTTATAAATAACAGACGGGGATATCTTTGAGGTACTGCTGAGTAGGAGGGCTACTGAATTTATAATCTGCTTTTTCTTGCAGGCTTGAGCTTATTTTGAGATAATCAGTTTACAGTTGATAAAGCTATTAAGAAAACTTAGATCTAAGTCAAAAACTAGCATGGAGTTTATTAATTTTACTATTCCACTCAGTACACAATGTAACAAATGTCATGTGAAGCTTTTGCTGGCGTTTGGGGTCATCTCTTGGGAATCTGTAAAATGTGCTTATTCTTTTAGTAAGCTTTTGCCAAATACAAGCATTTTGTAGTTGGCAGGACTTTTATATAAATGCTTCTGTAAAGGAAGAACTGTTTCATAAGTGCCTTTTCTACACAGTTTATTCCCCAGATATGCCTTCACGGCTTCCAATCCAAGACATCTTTGCTGGACTGGTTACAAGTATTGGCACAGCAATACGATACTGGTTTCACTATACACTTGTGGCCTTTGCATGGTTGGGAGTAGTACCTCTTACTGCATGTAAGTATTAATTTTTTGTACTGAAAAGTCTTACAGGCAGGAAAATATGCCACTTCCTGCAGCAGAGTTTTGTGAGACCATTGTTGGTTTATTAAAAAAAAAATATAGATCATAAATTTGAAGACATTATTTCACTTGTTTTTTGATTGGAAGTTCTAGCTACTTGACTATTATGCCAATAGTGCAATGCAGGAAGGTGTTAAGAGAGAGAAGAAAATACATGAAAGGGCTTTTAAACTTCTTATTCCAATAAAATGCCTCTTTTCAATTATCTTATTTCATGGAAGCTTTTATTTGATACCATTTATTAATATTAGGATAGAAGAACTGTCCTGTTTTTTCTAATTATCTATAAATCAAAGTTCAATATTTATTTTTACTTTTTAGTATGAAACCTAAAATCCCTTTACAGTCATACATAAATTGATTAATAAAACTCCTCTTAAAAAAAAACCTCAAAGGCCTGTGAGTACTAAAGGAATTCAGTAGAAAAAGAGCACACATGTTTAAATTACTGTAGTATCCAGTTTGAAATTTACTTTTCAAAAACAAACAGTAAGAGAACTAGTGATGTTTCAACAAGCTAAGAATTATAGAGAAGATGAAAAGAGGTAAAAGGGATATAGTGTTCAGTCAAGGAAATGATTGGTAATGCATCTTTCCAAACAGTAATATACCCCATGAACAAAATAGCACTGAGCCAGTAAATGCATCTCTCTAGACAGTTTCTCAATATGTTCTGTGCTTTTATTTGTAGCTGGCACTGGCTTAGTTTGGGAATAGCACAATACTGGCAGCAGCTATGAAAAAGTGATCCTGTTTCTGCTGCCTTTCCTTCTTGTGCAAGAAAAAGAGCTTTTCTAGGCATTAAGTAAACAAGATTCACAAATTGCATTAGAACTAAAAAAGATTTGAAAATTCTTTCTTAGGTTTTTAGATGAATCTTGGTTTCCTACCATTGTCTTTCAAAATGCAAATGTGCATTTTTCTTACTAAAACTTCTGAAGGACAGCAAAATCATAATCAGTAGATTAATTAAGGTAGTTACGTTTCATAACTGTCTGAAAACTTGATGCTGGCTCTTCAGTAACACTGAAATATTACCAGAAGTCACCACCTACATCATTGTTATTTAAGAGTTGGGGTTTTTTTGTTTGGTTTGTTTTTTTTTTGGGTGGGTGGTTGGTTTTTTTGGGGGGTGGAGTGGTGTGTGTGTTTTACAAATGTCATTTTTGGGTTTTAATACTCATTTACCAAACCAATACAACTAACTTATGATTTTGATTTATGAGTGACCTTTTTGTTTTATGGAGTTTTTTTTACTTTGTCTGGATTTCTGTCTCTTAACGTTGCACATGTACCCATGTTTATGGATTCCTTTAAGAATTAATGTACTGCGAAGGGTAACATATTTGCACAGAATGATATCCAGCGTGATAGAGACATCCAGTCTAACAAACCTTGAAAAATCCATTTACTTCTGAAATGTGTCAGTATCTGTCTTGGATTGATTTTGTATAGTTCTTGCCTTCTTACTTCAAATGCCTGTAATGTAATCTTTCATTTTCTGTAATACTTAAATACTTCTTAATGTAATCTTTTGCCTTCCCTGTTTCTGTCACATAGCTCACATAATTTTGTGGGACTGGCTTCATAAGGAATATTCTTCTCATTATATTTGGAAGAAGAAGGTGCAGCATAAAAAACTTGTCAAACATACCAAATGAGATGTATGGTTGAACAAATTTGTCTCCCAGATTAACTTGCTAATCATGCATTTATCCCATTGTAGGATAAATTCTACATTCTTTTTTGGTAATTTCACTTCTTTATTGTGTACATGACTTATCTGGTTGAGTAAAAGGAATTTATGTGTCTGTGCATATCCTCAGCCTGATCCCAGCAGATTCTGATATGCTGTTGTGTTAACACAAAGCGTATTTACATGAGTGCATGAAAAAGCCAATTATGCAAAATTATGATCTGTTCAGAGGAGTAGGATTAATTGGGCCAATTTAATCCAAAGTGGGTTTATTCTCTGTGATAATTCTTTTTAGCTCATGGTTCCTACAGTGAAATACCCATGGTACCTATACAGTACATGGGGTAAGAAAGAGATGTACACCCTGAGTAAAGTTTATGTGTACATTAAGGCAGTAGGAAATGCTAGAGTGGAAGTTGGGTTGTCTGAAGTGCCTTCTTTATCTCCCACTTTAGAAATTACTGTTTACATACCTATATATGACACACATATATTTTTCTAAGTGATCCGGCTGCCATTTAGAAAAAGAATATATAGATGAAGAGAATGGTTGTATAAGTGTTTCATGTAATTGTATAGCAGTTAAAAGTGTGGAGATGTGTAATAGGACTATTTAAATTGGCATGAGTAAAGTATGAATGGAATTGTGCATGTGAGCAGCAGAAGCAGCAGCAGAAAAATGGCTAAAAGGAGTATTGGCTGTTTGCCAAAGAGCATTATATATGATTTCATTCAAATCTAGAGGGAAAACAGACTAATAAATTTAGTTAGGACACCAGGTGAATAGAGGGTACCTGTGGTCCTTTGCAAGTGCAGCTGTAACCAAAATCTGATTTATACCATGCTTCTGTTCGTATATGCAGGTCGTATCTACAAGTGCTTGTTTACTGGCTCTGTGAGCTCACTACTGACACTGCCATTAGATATTCTATCAACGTAAGTACTTAAACAGTTTGATACAAATAACTTTTCCAGTCAGACTGCTGTGAAAATGGTTGCTTTGGAACTTCACGCCTCTTTCTTTCAGTTGTGCTTATTATCTTCCATCATCTTACACAAGCAGCTGCCCATTACCCTTTGCAAAACGAGATATGTAGCCAAAGTATTACAGTAGAAATCATTTTACTTTGAAATTCTGCTATTCAGGATCTTTGGAGATGGAAAACTGAGTTTACAAAATGGGCCCTAGGTAATGGAAGATTTGTATTTGAAGCAAAAAAAACTTACGCTGCAAAATTACACTTAATAATTAAAAAAAAAAAAAATTTATTTTCCTACAGTTTGAATCAGGTGCCACATAGTAGAATATTAATATATATTGCTAATAATATTAATGTCACATTGTGTTTGCTTTGTTATGTTTTTACTTTTATCCATCCAGTATCTCTTGTGTGATAGAGATTTTTTAAATTTTTTTCCCTCAAATTTCCTTCTAGCTGACACTTAGTTCTGAACGATTGAGTCATCTTATGCTATTGAATATTGTCTATCTTTGTCTTTTTATAAATCAATTTTACTTAAAACAATTCCAACACAACAGAGCTTTAGGCTGGTTCTTACTTTTCTCATTATCTTGAACATGAGAAACTGAAACTGAATAGAATCAAGTAAATTTTGAGTGAATGTCCTGAATTGTTCAGCTGAGTTATCTCACTTGGGCTATTTGATTTGAGACATCAGGTGATGTTATGTTTAATTAATTTTTATTACTAGAGAGAGATGCTAGCTTGAGATTAATAAGTGTTTTCCCTGTTATCTCCCAGTAAGTGTCGATTTTATTTTTATGAGAAGAATCTGAAACAACTGAACCTAGAGCACCTATTCTTGTACCTTACAGTCTAGGGAGAAAACAAAGGACTTGAATGTGAGGTTTTAATGGCATGTGAAGCTGTGCTTTGACACATATTTCTTTGATAGAGTCAATGACAATAGTCTTGCATCATCTTTTCATTTTTGATGTCCTGTCCCTGTGGTATTCACTCTGCTGTGCAAGCACAAGTGTTTGTGCGGCTGCATTGAGAGCCAGACTGATACTTCTCTAGGGTGGCAGAGTGCTATGGTGGCGTATTTTAAAGAACATACTATAGTTAGTTTCCTAAGCAAATCCATCGTGGTCAAGGGGTAGTGCAAGTGTGGAAACAAGTGGTGGGGGGGTGCCTGGAATTGGGGATGAGAGTTGATTAAGCCAATTTAAATACCTTTTGCATTGCATGAAACCCTAGTTTCAGTTGGCTAAGTGCATTTTATTTTACTGCTGCTTTATGTATACAGTTATGTATGACTTGATAGATGAGGATTTTTAAAGTATAGAGATAATATTCGGGGAAAAACACTACCTGAAATACAGAGCTGTGGAAGACAAACCCTGCAGTTCCATTCTTTTGATTAGGGTAACTCAGCAGGCTAAATGTTTCAGTGGACTGGATACTGTGCATCTGGCCATTTAAACAGATCTTTTACTGTAGCATTTACTTAGCAACTATTGTGTTTCCTTTGCTATTCTTGACGATTGTTTTTCCTGAACTATTCTTGAAGCTTTTCTGCATATCGAGTCAGATCCTGTTTTGCAGGAGTATTTATGTTTAAACAGTAGTAATTTCACAAACCAAACCAGAGGGAAATATAACCTGTCCCAAATCAGTGTTTATCTTGGCATTAAAACCATTTATAAGTAGGTACATACAGCCTTCCTAAAAGAAACTTGCTTTGCACAGATTTCTTAAAATCAATTAAAAATTACGTCTAGGTACTTTCTTTACCTGGTCATATAAATAAATACAGCTTTTTGCACAAATACCAGTTTATTTGTTGATTTGGACTGGGAGGTTCTATTTGTGGTAGTTAACAATGACTAAATTTACTCTTATTAGCAAAATATAATTGTGATTAATGTTCTGATTTGGGATTTCTTTTTCTTTAACAGGGAGAACTTACTGGCTGACTGTTTGCAGGGCTGTTTTGTGGTAACATGCACTCTGTGTGCATTCATCAGCCTTGTTTGGTTGCGTGAACAGATCGTCCATGGAGGAGCACCACAGTGGTTGGAACAAAATCAGCAACAGCCACTCAATGGTGTTGGTCAACAAAATGAGGTAAAATTTAACCACTCAGTAGTTAAGTTGTGAATAAATACATTCTTAGAACCCAACAGTAATGTTATTTTACTGCAGGGTGCCTTTGTACATTAGTAGAAGTTAAACGTGTTCTTGTATAAACTCAGTGATACCACTGTTACATTTCTGAAGTTCTGTAAAATGGAATTTTAATGGATGTTACAGTATTTTTGTAAAGCAATTTTAATGTTGTTTACATTCTTCTGCCTGTATCTTTACACTTTTTAAGATAATTTTGTGCATATAAAGCAGAATTGTCAGCCACAATCACGGAAGATGCAGCTTGCTTTTATTTTGTCTTTTTCATAAGTATTTCTGTAGTTCATGAGGTAACAATTCACTGTTCTCAAAGCAGTTGGAGGTGTTGCTGAAACTTCTGAAATTGGAGCTTCTCTGCCCTCCTCCCATCCTCCAACACACACATGCAGCCCTCCTTCAGTGCCTACAGGACCCTTGTGGCAGCAGAAGAGATGGTATAAGCAATACGTACTTAGGGAGGAAATAATTAGAATTTTCTTCTTCTTTTGTAATAAATGTCAGGTTTTTTAAAGACAGTGATGGAGATCCTCAGCTTGATGACTGACTTGGGGTGTCCCTGAATTACCATCTTTCTAATATAATGATAGGTTTCATAAGATCAAGAGAGTTCCCCTGTATTGAGCACTGGTGAGATCACATCCAGAGTGCTGTATTTAATTTTAAGCTCCCCCAGTACAGAAGAGACATGGACAAGTGGAGTGTGTGCAGTGAAGAGTCAACAGAAAAAATGAAGGACTGGAACATCTGACATACTATGAGAGGCTGAGGGGGCTGGAACTTCTCAGCCTGGAGGTGAAAAGGGCCAGGGTGGACCTTCTTAGTGTGTATAAATGCCTGATGGGAAGGTGTAAAGAAGACAGAGCAAGCGTCTTCTTGGTAGTATTGAGTGACAGGACAGTAGGCAGTAAGCTCAAACTAAACAACACAGGAAGTTCCATTTAGACAAAAAAGCCCCAAGCAAACAAACAAACAAAAAAACCCCAAACAAACAAAACCAAAGCAAAACCAAAACCAACAAACCAAAACAATACAGACTGGTTTGGGGGGTTGGGGGAGTTGGTTTCTTTGGGTTTATTTCGGGTTTTTTGTGATCAACTGCTGAAACAGGTTGCTCAGGGAGGTTGTAAAGTCTCCATCTCTGGAGCTAGTCAGAAGCCAACTGGAAACAGCACCAACCAACCTGCTGTAGCTGACCCTGCTTTGAGTAGTTGGGTTGACTAGATGATCCTTAGAGGCCCTTTCCAATCTCAGCTCTCTGTGAAGAAGTCTGAATGCTTGTCTTCCCCTTTTAAAAGGTTTAGTGGTCCCAAATTTAATGCTTTGTTTAAAAAAGAAAAAAGGTATTAGTAACATTTTTAAAAATGCTATTAGTTTTTTTTCTATACGCAGAATAAATGTGTGGAGAGAAGTTGATCAGTTTAACTGAATACTAAATCCTGCTTCTGCAGGCTCAGGCTGTTGTAAATGGAGGCATTGAAAACGCTGTGCTTGATCAACCTGCTAATCCAGCTGCTGAGAATGCAGTTGTAGGTGAGAACCCTGAAATTCAAGAAGAGCAAGTAGATGAAGAGGAGGAGGATAATGAAGATGAAGAAGATGCTGTAGTAGAAGATGCAGCAGATGCAAACAATGGAGCACAAGGTAACAGGTGACTCAAAACAATAATGTCCTAGTTTTTTGTAAATACAAATGAAACCATTGAAAACAGAACTGTCATAATCCAAGGAAGATGTGAAAATTCCAACTTCAGATTATTTGCCTTGTTTTTTTAATTTCATATATTTCTTTTGAGTGCTGAAACATTTGCTTGCTGGAAAGCTGTCAGCAGTTACGAGTTGAATGTTATGCACTTAAGTCTTTTTGTTTATTTAAAACATAGCATGGAATGGTTACATCTTATTTTGGGTAAGACTAACAGCTGCAAAAATGGCCATTGTCTCCTCAGATGACATGAACTGGAATGCTTTGGAATGGGATCGAGCAGCAGAAGAGCTTACTTGGGAGCGAGTGAGTAAGAATCATTTTCTTGAATTGAATAATCAAGATTCATATTTGAAATGATTCATAGTGTTGCTGTGTTAAAATCCATTTGGGAGAAATTTGGATACCATTGTCTAATGTGAAAAGTATCAGTAAGAGGCTTTAGTGATGTAAAAGTCATTGTATTTAAAAGCCAGATGCTACTTGTTAACTATCCAAAAGGCATTTCTTTGATTTGAAACACAGCAGCAGCTTAAAACAAGGGGTGTTTTAAGCACAGACTTTTCTGAAGTCTTCGACTTGGTTGGGTTTAATTGCAGCTTGCATTAAGGATGCTAGGCCAGATTAGAAGCACATAGATGTTGTTTAACATTTTAACATACAGTTTAATACTTAGTTTTTGTATTCATGAAAGCATTAAGGAAATTTATTTTATGTATTTGCCACATACAAATGTATTTCTTAAAACACTGTAGAGCATTTTAATGTAACATTGCTTCTGTTTTGTTTATGGATCATAAATTCCGTAATTAGAGCGTGATTTGGATTATTTGGATCATGTACACTGTAATCATAGAGTAATATAGTGTCTCAAGAACTATTTTTTTATAGCTGGTTTAGAGGTAGCCAACATCTGAGCTCAAAGTTCACCACATGCAGCAAAACCTACCTGAAGGTAGATAGAGCGGCTTCATGGGATTTACCAGTGTCGCTAGTGCCTATGGCAGACAGCTGCAAAGCTAGTCACTGCGTTCCCAGGCTGTGATATTGTTGTTGCCTTGATTGCTGTTTAGTAGAAATAAATTTTTCATCACAAGGGACAGTTCTTCATCTTTGTTTTGTATCTAGTGAAAAATCTTTAGTTTGTTTTGAAAGATTTTTAGTGAAAAAGGGCATACATAAATTCAGACTTACTGAACCATTCTGCTGCAGATGTCAAAATGAAAGTGTTATGTTTCCGAACTCAATTTATGTGCTGGGAAATGTTGAGGTACTCCTAATTGAAAACACTTTGATGCCTCTCCATGAATATAAATCGGCTTCAGCAAACTCTCATAACCATTTCTAATCCTACCTGCTGGCATAGGCAGTCATCTGCTTGGCATTTAGTATCAGAAGTGGGGTAGGGTTTTCTGTCATTTCATCTTGTGAAAACAGCATGCAAGCTTTCTGAGGTTTTGAAAATATTTGCATCTTGGTTTATTTTGTAAATTATTTGCAACTTAGTGCAAAATTCTGGTTAAAAAGAATAGCCTTGAACCTAGTACTTCACAGCAGTAATCATGGACTAATCAGTGTCTGTATTGAAATAGTAAGAAATCCTTGAAGTAGAGGGGAGATTTTTTTTATTTTTTTTTTTTTTAAATAGATGCTTTACTTTTGCCTATTTTGTGGGTGCTTCCCGTAAGAGCTGTGCAGTGTGATGGAGGATTTGGTTCCTGTCTTCCCTAGCTGTAAACCAATTCTGCTCTAAATTTAATTACATAGTATAGCAACATTAACCTGTTACTAGTTACTTTTATACATTGAAGGTAAAATATGAACCTTTAAATTTTCTCAGTGCAACATAAACTGATACTTTACAATTAGGAAATAAAAAAGAAAAAAGTTGCTCTTTTATTTTAATGTTGAGTTGTTTAGAAGTGTATTTAGCAGTTCAATCACTAAAATCTTTTGTAAGTAGAAAATCTTTGTCGAAGTCTTAGAGAGAAATAGCCTATAAATTGATTATATGTATGGTCTGCCACATATAAATACATGTGTATTAAGATATTCCACATGCATATCAGTGCCTTTGATCAACTGAGTTTACTGTGTTGAATGAGAACTTAGGTTATACCTTTAAGAATTTATGTCCTGGTTCTGTTGGTTGAGCAGTTAAAAAAAAGCTTCTGCCTGTATTGGACATAAAAAGTTGGTGTGAAAGAGGCTTCCATGAGGCTTATTTTAGATGCATGTTGCTTAGTTTTTCTGATGAGTAAATAAAATCAATGTTCTTATCTTCACAGATGCTTGGACTTGATGGATCTCTAGTTTTTTTAGTAAGTAAAATCTCGCATTTCAAGAATTTCTATAGAAGGCTTTTTTATTTTTTAAAGTAAAACTAGTCTTTAAGATTGCATCATTCTACTTGAAGTCCCTATTTTCATGTAATACATATTCAGAATAGAATCATAGAACAATTTGGGTTGGAAAAGACCTTAAAGATAATCCAGTTCCAAGCCCCTGCCACAGGCAGGGACACCTTCCACTAGACCAGGTTGCTCAAAGCCTCACCCAGCCTGACCTTGAACATTGCCAGGGATGGGGCAGCCACAGCTTCTCTGGGTAACCTGTTCCAGTGCCTCACCACCCTCGCAGTCATTAAAGAATTTCTTCCTAATATCCAATCTAAATCAATCCTCTTGCAGTTTAAAAGATTCTTAAAATCTTTTAAGAGATTCTTAAAAGACATAGGTAGCTTTGGATCATCTACTCCCTTGAAAAAGGATACACTGAAAATACATATCTGTTCTAGCCCCAAGTTTTGCTTGTTATGTTGTGGTTAAAATAGTGTCCTCATTCAAACTTTCGTGATTTGCCCTATTACCACCAGAACACCACTAGTGAATTTCTGCCATATACTAGATTTTAAAATTTAAAATCTTCAGTTACGTTTCTTGACTTCATTTGATTTTGGGTTTCTTTGTTCCTCTCTAGAATTTTTCCCTTCTTAAATATTATTTTAATTTATATCACTATCAATTTTTTTTTATATATGAGCATTTTATCATTTATAAAACAATTATCCACATATATTTTGTATAATTGTTTTTAAGGGTGGAACTATTCATATAGATTTTAGAATAAAAGCTTGCTTTAAAAACATAGGAGTATTAAAGCAAATATAAGTGCTCTCATCTAGGTAAATGTCCACGAATGTGAACAGAATCTTTCATAATCATCTGTCCTGCATGTTTTGGTCTTTGTGTTAGAGCAAATTTCTTGGCTCTGACAAGTGATGTGCAATTTCTGGTAATAATAGGCAGCTGAAAGAAGTTTAGATACAAAAGTAAAGTCGCGTACTTAAATGACTGGTACTAACTGACGTCTTCCTCTCTCCTTCTCCCATGCTCCTTGCAGGAACATGTTTTTTGGGTGGTATCTTTAAATACATTGTTCATACTTGTGTTTGGTAAGTATCATTTGCTCTTGAGTTTTATAAAGATCTTTCTCTGTAGCAATAATGCAGGTTAATTTTAAGGCTATTCTTTCAGAATAGATGAAGTTGTGACATCTAAAAATGGAACAACAAACAAGCTGGGAATATGAATAATAAATCTTCGTTGCTTCTAGTTTTGTCATTTTAGTTCCTTTAAGCAAATAGGATTAAAATAGGAAATCTACCAAAAGCTTAATGATGTCAACCAAAGCATGGGGTGTGTAAGAATGTAGCTGACTCTGTAGGGCTGTCAAATGTATTTCCATTTTGTGTCAAAAATTACTATGGAAGAACTTTCCTTAGTTCATTCAAGTCAGACTGATTTAAATTTTAGAAAATAATAAATTCTAATCAGTGGTGTATTTTACTTTATTTTCCTTTCTCCTTCCCGTAGATGCTGAACTGTAGCTTTAAATGTTCGAAAGGCTTTATGTTCCTAGTACAAGATAGGAATATTTCCGTGTTCTGATTCCATGTACAGTTAGTGCTAGGAAAATTCCTTGGAGATAAACTTCTCACAGCT